GTCCTTATATATAGATATAATAAACCCAATGGGTGTGACTTTTCCAAGGGATGTAACCGACGAGGTATAACTCTCCATCACAATTACTTCCATTATTATACTTTGGTTACTCCAAAAAATATAAGAGACTATATTTATACATGTAAATAAATATACAAACTATCAAGGACACAGTTTTATGAGATTCCAACAACTAGGATTTGCAAAAGAAAACCAACCWCGTTAAAATATGAACTTTTCAAATTCATTATGTACAAGGCAATGCATTAGATAATATGCGAGCATGGACACGTGTTAACTTTTTCCTCTATGGAATAAGGTGAGTGGGAAGGTTGACATCTTTTGGGTGATGTAAGTAGGTAGAAGTGTACTCAAACAATATTTTTTTAGGTTATTAATTGAAAATTAACCTAACTATAGAAGGCAATTCCATAATTTATAACCATCTTGGGTCGTTTATTAAATACTTACTTGGGTAAGCGTTTATCAAATCACATTATCTTACCTGATGAATATAATAAGAACCAAGAATCTTACCCTGTAAGAGTTAGACAAGAACCAAGAGTCTTACCTGGTAAGTGAGGACGACGACTCTTACTACGGTAAACGCTTACCGGGTAAATTGTTGCATACAATGTCGTTTTGATGGACTAAAATCTTATCTAGTAAGTAAATGGTAGTGTTAAATTTTATCGATAAACTCTTACCAAGTAAGTGTTTGGTAAACAGCCTCTTACTTTCCAATTCCAACCATGCATTATATGCCCAAAAGCCAATCATTAGATGATTTTGTTTGGATATTCTGTCATGATATTAATTARTGAAAAGYCTTGTCCAATTATTATGTTTATGTATACTTTGTGTTATATCTAAACGTAATAATAACCTTAGTATTGTATTCTAAAATGTCCYTAGTCAAGTATCAATTTAGATTTATGTTGAATTAATATAATACGACTAGTAGATGCAGGGATTTATATGGATATATAGAATCCATATATAGRTACAAGATGGGATCTTATGTACCAGATGTAACTCACTTTGAGAACCATATGAGTGTCATAGACGTTTCTCATGTGGTCTTTGTATATATAGTTCTTTGACTTGAGATCATGAAATTTGCTTTATATGAATGGTGTACTTCGATAACTGATTTTAATCATTCTGTAACAGGGTGACGGAATGGTTTTAGGTATATCATATATCACTTAGTAGTACTAGCATGGATCAAGATAAGATTTGTTCCTCTTGGATGACAAGTGTGATATCTCTAAGCCCCTCAATTGGATAGTACAAAGGGAGTGCATGCATGCTCAGGTAGTTAATATAGGATACTGATATTTGTCTTTATCAAGTATAATATGGAATTATCGGACATAACGGGGAACACATCCATGTCTCGTGGTCAATTCAAATATCAAGAACAAAAGGACATAAATGTGTACACTGATAATAACCATACAGTTTTCTGACTAGCTGATTTTATCATTTAGGTAACAATGATGTATTGCTATATGTTGCTTTTCGTTTATAATTATAAACATGATCTATAATTATTGGCAACGTGATAAAGTCCCAATAAGTCACATCTATAAAATGCATATTTAAATAATTAAAGTGTTTGATAATTATATCTGATTAAATATAATTAAATTGCATTTTAGCTTGTTTGACAAAAGTGAAGTACGAATGACAAGTGGTGACTTGTCTCTCTCTCACACTCTCTCTCTCACACACACACACACACACACATATATATATATATATATATATATATACTATCTTATTAAACAAATTTAGCAAAAGTCTTAAAGTCTTAAAATTCTAAATGACCAAAATACTCTTTATACTCACTTTTTCACCTTTTCACCTTTTCACTCCCTCCTCTCCTCACATACACTCACCCTCTCACATATATTTTTTTAAAATTATAATTTTAAATTTACACTTTATACCCTATAATTAATTAATTTATTTATTTTATGTTCTTTACTTTTAAATGTTTCATTTTAAATTTTTATGAAATTAACATACATAATCGTATATCAATTAAAAACATGTTTAAAAAATACATTTTTATTTTAACAAGTTACACCATTATAATCGTCTCGTTAATACCTTCGAAATGAGTCTAATATTGAATAATTTTTTACTTAATTATATTATTATATATTATATATACTGTGAAAAAATATTTTT